TTCCGCAAATGAGATAAGTAGGTCTCATGAAGCAATTAACTTTAAATAAGCCTTGCCTCCCGAAAGGTATTCTAATTCAGGCACTATTGGACTGTAGTTCCGACTTCGCCTAGGTCTAAACAGTACCCTCAACAGGATTCAAACCCAGTTATTGCAGGGTACCAATGAGTTAGAGGACAGACAATAAGTTCAAGGCTAACCAGGCCTCTCCCATATCCCATATCAGAGTGGGAAGTTCAAATAGCAGTCGTTCATCACTTATAGGTTAATACAGCTTTTATTAAAAAGCAACATTTAATATAGGCTATTACTCACTGTGAATATAAGTAGTACAGTCATATTTAATAAGAAACATAAGTTAGTCTCATTCCATAAAAATTGTGAGATGGGAAAGGCCTGGTTTGTCTTAAATTATCCCCTACCCTGCGACTCACTTGCGTCCACGGCAGTTTGGTATGATGACAACATGTCGAGATTATACGTCACACCTCGGTTGCCCGGATTCAATTTCAGTTGGGGGAGCTGATGAGGCCTAGGCGAGTTCGAATATGCAGTCCAAACTGACCTTAACGACGTGGTGGGACCTAATTGTGTCATTGTGGGAAAACTCACCTCTCAGCCCTTCATCACACTACGCAAGTTAGAATGAATTCGACTCTCATTTATTAGTAGTCTCGAGACCCTACATCCTCGTAAATCCCTCAAATAAGCCAGCGTTTAACTCTGCAATTGTGATGCATGTTTAGGCATTTGTTATTGTGTATTAAATGTATTCTGTCTACAAGTGGTATGAGGTTTGATAGCGCCAACCTGACTCGAGTTTACTCAACCCTTCTTTTCCTCAGTAGTGCTTCCTGCTTCCTCTCTGTCACTATTTCTCTCTATCTCTCCATCTCTCTAACTATCTCTATCTATCTATACATCTCTGACTATTTGAGCCCATCCAATAGTCAAAATTTGTTAATACTCACTTTCCTAAACTCGTTCATCCAATCTAGCATGATGCTTGCTTTTGTTATTTCTGTTTAATTTCTAGTCCTATGCTTAGCTATTAAGTCTCTATAGCCTGTAAAATAGATTAAAATCCTTTTGGAAAGCAAGGCCGTGTGAAATTTCACCGCATACTGCGACCTTCTGAGTATTCATTAAATCTCCTCAAGCGACACTGGCAGGCAAAATATTGTATTCAAAAGTTGTACCGGGCTGTCTTCGGTGATGCAAACAGCAACAAAATTATCAAGTGACCTAAAACCTTGAGACCTCACTGACGTGTGAGAGAACCAAATCTTCTATTGGCTCCTTTGAACTGGAAACCTGTTTAAGGTGATGCATTATAAAGCGCGTTTCGTCTGTGGACCGGTTGGTACATTAAAGCATTAGATTGTTGCTGCCAGTGACGACATAGTTCATATTTAAAAAAAAGAATAAATAGTTCCTAAATGACGATCTACCGGCCAGATTAAGTTGAGATCTACCCCCAAAAAGCATGTAAATATATGGTTAGACTGTACAAGATATGAATAGCAAAATGGGTACCATTTCCGTCCTCTCCATTTTCTCGGAGCGCCTCGTCTACGCCCAAATGGTCGTCATTCACAGTCCTTCGATGCACCATCAATTCGACCTCTCCATCCCGCAGGCTGGAGCCACCCTGTGGGCGATCCGTGTAGATAGCGAGACAGATTGGCTCAAAGCCTCCTGAAAACACGAGAACGCATAAGCATAAATCTCAGGCAGCCTTGAAGATTAGGCACAGTTACAAGAGAAGCAAGAACCTTGATCCCAAACTATCTGGCACAGAATTGTTTGAGGCGAGTGCCGACTCTAGCAATCGGAGGGTGTTCTAGCTACATACACCCATCTCTCCAGAAAGAATCGGCACCAAGCGACGCCAAGAAGAAGGTAGGTAAGTGCTGCGCACGAGCACAACACGAGACTGGGTTGGAAGAACTAGAAATTCCAGACCGTCCGAATAATGCCAGATTTCAGGTTGTGCGATTTGGATTAGACGAACAAGATGATGCTGACTCGGTCTGGCTCACTCTGAAATAGCCAATGTGAATATATCCTCGACTCACCTTCCCGCAAACCAGGGACTGTGTGCCGAGGAGCTATTCGTACAAATCTACAACTACGGCTCCAAAGTAATCTTACTTCGGCGTCAGGTAAGGCAATTTTACGAATCTCTTTCACTCTCTTCCTCATTCGAAGTGAATGTAATCCTTTGGCCCAGAAATCTTGCCAATGGACCTATACGGAACTTCAAATAAGTTAGTAGATTTTAGGGAATTATTGCGAAGTCTTATTGTTCACTGTTTGCGCCAAAGGGCAGGGAGACCTAATTCGCCTTGGAATGGACAATAAATAC